ACACAACCCTCACAGTATCTGACACACTGTAGCCCACAGATTGTTCACAGCACTACTCACGGCATTCATACACTGTACTCATACACTGCATTCTGCATTGATACACTGCTCACGGTATTCACACACTGTATTCATACACTGCATTCTGTACTGATACACTGCTCACAGTATTCACACACTGTATTCATACACTGTATTCTGCACTAATACACTACTCACAGTATTCACACACTGTATTCATATACTGTATTCTATAGCATACTTATGTGTTTGCCATTGGTACTTTTCAGCATCCCTTCCAGATTCCTACTGTAGGAGGCGCTCCAGCTGAACCATCTGTTCCTGTTTGAGGAGGAGATGGAGAGGGCAGAGTATACCCCCGCACCAAGGTGGGGTGCACTCATGTTGGGAGTAGCTCACGGGCACCAGTCCCCGATGACGATGAGTCCGAGGTGGAGACGGAGGCGGAGGCAGAGGCGGAGTCATCTAAGGGGGAGACCGGAGATGGCACTGACTCAGGCTCAGATGACGGCGCTGATGACGATGCTCCTGGACCTTTGTCCAGGAAGAGGACGAGGACAGACCCTTAGGCCTGAGGCCACTTGACATTGATCCAAACTTTTTCTGCTTTTCTTCTTCTTTTCTTTTTGTACTTTTCTTTTTTTGCTGGTAGCTAGAGTACTTGTACTGCCGCAGGCAGGTTTTGTTTTTTTCAAAACTTTGTACTTGAAAAAGATGATGAAATGAAACAAAGCTTTTTATCTGAAAAAGTGTTACATTTTGGTACATTACATTACATCACATCACATAACAATGTAAATGGAATTGATCTCCTGTCTGAAAGTCAAATACTTGTATTGTAATAACCAGGTAACGAACCGGCCAACGGCAAAACAACTCATACAACCCACTGCTTAGACTGAACACTCGGCCCATACTCTGTTAGGAATTAATCTGTATACAGGCCATTCTGTTTATTCTGCACATGGCAAACCCTGAACAAACAGTCCAATCTAACAAGACAGAATACAAAGGTAGAATCGGCTGAAGTTGAAGCACACTCAGATGCCCCAAATTTTCCCTTTTTTCTTTTGCTTCGCATAAATGTGGAGAATGGCACAGCACTCTAAGCACAGCATGATTAAAATTTTTTGAGATTGAAAAAGGGTTTTTCAAACCGGGGTATTGAGCCTACAACTGAACTCAGTGAAAAAGACTCAAACAGAAAGTACACGACCTAATCATAACGAGACACGCTAGGAAAAGACTCAAAACAAAAGTTGAGGTAAACAAAACAAAAGACACGACATACCGACGTGTTTACAAAAACGAGAAACCTTAAATCACGAGGAGCCAGTTCCTTCGGGCATTATTTCCCATCCTTTCTCATTTGTGATTCTCATATTACTCAGCTCTCAGGCTTGGTTTTTTCTCTCAAAAACGCTTTTGCTCACTTTTCTCTCAACTTACACCTCTCCATTCTTTAATCTCTCATTTTTTTTATCCCTCCCCGGGGTGATTGATGGATGAATAGGAAGTTGTGGGTTCAAACCCAACACTGTTAGCTCGTAGCTATTTCCTCCAGGGACGTCTAGTTGATGTTCCGGAGTACCTTGATCCATTCCAGTTCGTGCTTCGCACTTGGTTTGATTCCTTGTCGCTTGCAGGGTGAGAGAGCTTTTAGCCCTTTACAGACAGCTCCAGTTGCGCCCTTTCTGGCAGGTAGAGTGTCCTTATGGTAAGGAATGTTAACCACGGGGTAAAGACAGAACACCTGACTCAACTGTGCCCCTAGTTCATCATTTTGACCATTTTTTGTTTTGTTTTTTCTACTAAAACAATTTTCACCAATATAAAAGTTAGATTAACATACTGGTTCGATTTTTGATTTGAAAACCATGCGAGTTAGGCTATGAGCATTGAAAATTTTCCTTTTTTGAGTCAAAGAAAATGGTCCAGTTTTGGAAAAGATAGAATAATTTTTGAGAAAATGGTCAACCTCAGTAAAAATTCTCAAAAACTATTTTTGCAAACGGTCACTGCTTAACGAGCGCAGAACTTACTCTTGAGATACGCAACCTTGGATCGGAGGAAATGGAAAATTGCCCCTTGCTCGAAGGACGCTTCATGGCAACGGAAAGTTGCCCGTGGTTTGAATGGCGACTCATGGCAACGGAAAGTTGCCCCTTGTCTGGATAACGCCGCAGCATTTTGTAAACAGTCCTCATTCGTGATGATCACGACCGAACTCTCAAACACGGAGAAAACAAAGATGGTCAAAACCAATATATGGACACAATCGTGTTGAAAGCGTTGGTGGCTGGACTTCAGGATGAAGTTGCCTACGTATCCCAAACATGGGAATCAAGCCTTACGTAGTTCGGGTGTCACAACCGAACTATCAGATTCAGAGAAGGCAAGGATGATCAAAACCATTACATGGACTCAGTCGCTATGAAAGCGTTGGGGGCTGGACTTCAAGATGAAGTTGCCTATGTATCCCAAACATGGGAATCAAGCCTTACGTAGTTCGGGTTAAGGTACACTCGGGTATTAACCTTCACTTTTTAGGCTCTAACATTTGCCAAGGTGCCCGTTGCGGGTTTTTGACCTTGGGAGCTTTGTTCTTCTTTCCTTTTTCAATTCTTTTCTTATTTTTTTTTTTCATTTCTTTTGCATTTTTTTTTTTTTTTTTTTTTCTCTTGCTCTAACTTTTCACTTTGATTTCAAATGAAATGCACATAAACAAGCAAGGAGCTCAACCTCTATCATACTCAATTCAAGAGGCTAAGCATGCATGTCAATGCAATGCAACCTAGACATATGAGCTAGTATGCAACATGAACAATGCGAACATCATTCAAGGCATGTGACAATCATGCTAACCAATAAGTATGCCCGATACAATGGGGACGTTCAAGCATGCAAGCAAGCATGTGACTTCATTCAATCATACCACAACACATGGAGCAAACATGTTAAACAACCTAAACATGTGACAACACACAAGTATGCAACAACACACAAGATAAGCATGCAGCAACATGCGAACTATGGACTTAAACTAATTTGGGCAGCTCCATACCAAGCCCAAAATAGTAGCCAATATTCTTAAGAATGAAGGCAAAATGACATGCAAATATGCGTGCACACAAGGACCAACACTTAGGCATATAGAAATAACTCTCAAGCACACTTAAGAGGATGCAAACATGGACAAATGGCATGCATTATAAGCTCTAAAAATCATGTTAGAGAAGGTGCCAAACCAATCTACAATGCAAGCTAGGCATGCCACCAAGCTCAAGGACTTAAACCATGGCCATATGACATATGAAGCAAATGACCAAAATGAACTAGAACATCCCTAAATCATGCAAAAGTAAGCCCCCAAAACCACTTAGATGGCATCTAAATGATCTAATCCTAGAGGCGTACACAATGGCACAAACATGGAGCAAGAAACACCAACCTTTTAATGCACGAAAGGGGCATCAAATGCAAGCATACGAGCATATCATGAAGACTGAAATGACATGACAAGTGGTTCCAAACCACTGAAATGATGCAAGGATGGCATGCTAGAGGGGTCAATGCTTAAGGCATACAAGAGAGGTTACATGGTAGCTATACAAAGCAAAGCATGGACAACCCAAATGACCAAAAACAGACCTTTAGCATGCTAAAACAACCATAAAAGCTTCACGAAGCTAAGCCAAAAACATGCTAGAAATAAGGCTCAAAGCACAGGGCATGTTAAGGCAATTCATGGCATTACATGACATGCATGCTAAGCAAGCATGCTGTGTCTAAACCAAGTAAAAACAGTGCTATATTATGGCATAATAAGCATAAAAAAATAGTTAAGGCATGGCCAACATACACTTAAACAAGGTGCTCACTAATGAGGCTTAAATGGCCATTATTGAAGACAACAAGGAGAGGGGGTGGCCCTCTCCTTCCTAGGACCTTAAGGCACCATCCTCACTATCGAAATCCCTCAAGATTTCAGTAGTGAGGAGGCCCAAACAAGGTGATCCTGGAGCTCAACCAAAATGGCAATAAATGGGACCAAACAAGCCCTAAGAGGGGTCAAACAACCCTGAAGCTCAAAACATTCTAAACAACTATTTTAAGCAGGTAAAAATAGAACTTTTATATGTTATATGAAAAGTCTAAAAATAGTTTCAAGATAGTCAAAAAAGCTATGCAAAAATGGGGAATAAAGGGCACGAACACTCACCCTTGTTGACCCTCTTCAAGAATGATGCTCCAGCAGCTTCTTCAAGCTCAAAACCACCTAAAAACACCAAGAACAGCCTTCTGGTCCCTCAGCAACCAAGAGAAGGTGTAGGACTAGGTGTTTGTGTGCAATAGTAAGACTAAACACACACACAAGGCAAAGAGAGAGAGAGATATAGAGATGGAATAGATACAAACTCAAACCCTAATCTCAGAGCTCTTTTGAAAATTTTGTAACCCTAATGGAGGGAGAAGAGGCTCCCTCTTATAGACAATCCCTCTTGTAAAGCTTTCTAAACAAGCTAGTCAAGAGGGAGATCCCTCCATACACGTGTATGGAGGAGAGCAAAGTGTATGCCAGCTAGCACAGCTGGCATAGAAATATCTGGAAAAGCAGATGAACAGTGGTCGGCCAGCCAAAAATGCAATTTGACCAAAATAGATGGCCGGTCGACCATCTAGAGTGCCGGTCGGCCAAACATTTGGCCGATGGCAACAAAACACAACCGGTGGCCTCAAGCCATGGCCGATGGAGTGTGGGGATGGCCAAAAAGCCATTCCCTGCCCTCCAAAGCAAAGACACAAGTGTTTGGTGCAAAACTAAGCACAAAACAGTCGAGTCGAGAGATCCTGAGGCAAGGCGCGTAGCCGAGACCTCCGGGAACTCAAGACGAACACAAACAAGGATGATCACCGAGTGTTCAAACGGTGACGTCCAAGTCTTGAGGACGATCAAAAATGGGTTGTCTACAAGTAGTAAAAATGGTTTCGGATTCGGAGCTGGTGAATCGGCTCTGGGATGTGCTCCAAACCTCCGACCTCAATACCACCACAGCCGACTCTATCCGGCGCATCCTGGAGTCAGAGTTCGACGTCGACTTGTCTGATCACAAAGCCTTCATCTGAGACCAAATTGATTCTTTCCTCGAGACCCGTGTTCAGAGGACCCACAACAACGCTGTCACTGTCGAAGAAGAAGAAGATGAATAAACGATTCACGAGGAAGCTTCAAAGACTTTGAAACTTGAAGACAACAAGTCTAAGTTCGAAGAAGAAGAAGAAAGTGATGGACAGAGAAACAAGAAATGAAGGTTAGGTTTTCCGTTTTTCTTAGCATGTCCATTTCTCTCTATTTGGTTGCAGAGAAAAGAAATCAAAATATTTACTAATTGAATTTTTCACAGCTTTTGTTATTAATATGATAATTTCTAGGGTGACAAATGTGGGTTTAAATATTTGTTTGGGATTTTTGGGGATAAACTCCAACAAGTTTAAATTAAATTCATTAGAGTGGTTGTGAAAAGTAAGTATTGAGTTCTTTAATCAATGTAAATATAGCCAGCCAAATCTATGCATTGGGGATTGTTCTTGTTACTACTGCATGAGTTTGTATTATGCATGATTGATTGAGAGTTTGATTCAAAATTGGGAAATTGTTTATAATAGCACAATTTGATTTCATAGGTGACATAGGTTTTTACTCTTTTGTTTTTTTTTTTTTTTGGCATGTTTTAAATTCTTCCTACTTTTGGAATGTACTCTTGCTATCAAATTTTGATGTTCTTGTGTGGATATTAGCCTTAAACATGTTACTCATGTGGTTCTTTAAAATGTGTGAATAAGTAAATTTGAGGGCACCTGTCTGCATTTAAATGTATTGTGTATTCTTTGAAGTGGCTACCAACCATAAAAAGATTAGAAAAGATAAAATGAAAAGAAAGAATTCATGCTTTTAGAGTTTGCCCTCATACTGTATTTCGATTACATGCTCAACCAATTGTGAATATCTTATGCTCTGGGTGTGTGGGGAAATAACCTTGGGCACATGTTGCAGGTTCTTGAATTGTAAACGCACATTTTTGTCAGGTATCATACTCTAGAGTTACTTTTTCTTTTCTTTTTTTTTTTTGGTTTTTATTTTTTGAAATTTTAATAGAGTGTGTCACTCACTTGTGTAGTTATTATTATTCCCTATGGTTTTCATTGAGGGATAATATTTTTGAAGAATAGTTGAGTAACAAACAATGAGAATCTCTTCCAAGTATAAATATGCATTCTACCCTTTTTTGGCTACCCCCTTTTCTTCAGTACGAAGATCAAAAGGATCTAGATCTGGATTCTCAAGTTAGAAGTGGGTTTTGATTTTTTTAGGTATCAACATTGTCTAATTGCTCAGATTTGCCATAGATGGTTCATGGGTTTTGAATATTTTTTGCTATTTTGGGTGGTTCTGTTGTTGAATTTGTATGTGAATGAGACAATATTGTTTAAATGGGGTCTTTTTATTGGGGAAAGTGAGTTCAAAGGCAGTGTTTTTCCTTTTTGAATTGGTAAATTTTGTGAAGTTGGTAGATTATCAAGCATTTAGCTCAAAAAATTAGAAATGAAATGGGTTACTCTCCTAATTTTGGTTGTCTTGAGCATGGAATTTGATGTCTTGATCATCATCATCCACTAAAATGATCATGCAATTTCCAAATTGTGTGCTGGAGAACCAAGAAAATTTCAAAATTTGTTCATTCTCTAGTATTGTAATCTTCATCTAAGAGTTTTTTTTTTTTTTTCTTCTCCTGATATAGGCTGATCTTTTTTTTTAATTTTGATCCTCTGATTTAGGAAGGAAGCCATCTTTCAATTCATTTTTATTCCTTTTTATTTTCTTTTTGAATTGTCAATTTATTTGATTGTCTTGTTAATAATTGTATGAGAGGGTTCAAGAATGTCGTTGGAAAATTTGAAGATCTAAGAAGATCCTTGAAGAAAAATTCGAATTCTCCAGAAGATGATGAGAGACTTAAATTCTTCAATAGTCTCAACTAAGAACACAAGAGCAAAGAGATGATGGAGATAAAACATTGGGTGAAGAAGAAGGCAAAGTAGCTAGAAAGAGAATAATGGCAAGGCTCTCCCATGGATCTCCCATTTTCACTCTCAAGGTTGATAATGGAGAAGGGAAATTAGTTCTTTCCTAAAAGTTATCTTTCCAAAATCCATCCCTTGTAAAGCTATGGGTGGGTGCTATTTATAGGCACCTCATGATGTAGGATGGAGCCCATGTGCAAGGCACATGGGGAATATTCTCTCTAACCACCTTGTTTGAGGAGGTGATCTCTCTGAGGATGAGGAAAACCTTCGAAGAGGAGATCAACCTCTCGGCGAACTCTTCTTCGTAGCCACACCTAACCAATGATCCCCAATCATCCCAAAGGGTCAGGGGTAGTCCCAGAGGACGTCCTGCCGCATAAGGGTCAAGGGTAGTTCAAGAGAACGCCCTGCCGCAAATATTGCCGAGTCTTAGGGACCCCCTAGATTGTGCCATCTCGACCCGGGTATAGGCTAGTTTAACCGAAGAGTGAATTTATCTTCACTCACCGTCCTCGGGATCGGGTCCTTTGTTCGAACTCCATTACACCCATGGTTCTGGTGCGTAGATCCCAGAAAGCTCCGAGCCCGCAAGTGTTCTGGGACTCATTAACAGAGCGACTTCTAGATTGCGTCTGAATCTGTTCGGAGCCAAGTGCTTCGGATCTCTAGGTTCGTGGATCCGAACCCTTTCGAGTCTGAGTGCCTCGGATCTCTAGGCTTGCTCAATACCCCTTTGAGTCCGGGCCCGGGTAAGTTTCTAAGTTCGTGGATTCGAACCCTTTCGAGGCGTAGAGCGATTCAGCCCATTTGATGGTGATAAATCCGGGCCCACTAATTTTGGGCTTGTGAAAAATTCGAGCCCACTAACCTTGGACTATTGGGCCTAATTAATTTAGTGGGCTCAAATTAGCTCCTCTTGCAATAATAAGTTGTGTATAGTTTATTGAGAACCATTTGTTAATATATTTGAGTACTCCTTTAAGTTGATGGTTCAAAGCAGAAATCAAAGTTGTTTGAATGTGCTATATTGATTGAATTTCCTTATATATCACTGCGGTTAGAATTTGGGAATAATGAAGAGTAGTGCACTATATTCTGTGCACTTTTTGGTAAGAATGAGAATGTTTGGTTTTAATTTAGCAAACAAAGATTGAACCAATTGTTACTTTTGATTTACATGAACTTTAGTTCACTAAATAATACTACAAAGAGGATAGAGCATGAGATACTGGATTTGGTTATCAAAATTTGGAATTGATGATTGAGAATTTCATCCTTCAATGCAATCTTGTTACTTTGGTTCCATTCAATTGATATATTAAAGTGTTAAATTTTGTTACTTCTATCTCTGCTACTTTTCTGTCTAGTTCTTAGTGGATTAATTATAAAATTATTTCAATTTTGTAATTTAAAACATATTCTACTCTACATGAAAATATACTTCTATGTTTAAATTGATAACTTAGTTGATTTCTTTGTGTAGCAAAGACAGATTTATTAGTATTTTTACTGTGTTTCACTTACATTTCTGAGTTATTTATTTATTTATTATTTTTATTTTTAAATTTATTTTAATTCTTTTCTTTTATAATGTTGAAGACAAAAGCTAGCGGAATTTGAGTCTTTGTTGTGGCTTGTTGCTACCATAACGCATCAAAGCCATCTCTGTCCCCTCCCTCTAACTATACAACCCATTATCTGGAATTATGATCATTGTCTCCATCTTTGCTCTTGGAAGAAATTCTAGATATTTAAGTGCTTCAAAATACTAGATTTTGATATCAATGAATAGACTCATTCCAGTGTTGGTTTTAGGATCTCTTGCTGCTTTGTTCAGATTTGTAAAAAAATTGTGTCTAGAATTTTGTTGAACCTCGGACTGCCTGATTTTCTCCTTAAAAACTTTCCACTTCCTCTTTGGAAAATGTCTTGAATGTCTGCAACATCTAGGCTCATCTTCCTTCTAATTTGCATCAGGGTTTTCTATGCCTCTAAATTTTGATTATCCCTTTTTTCGTAGTAGTGTTGTGTCACTGCATGGACAAACGGTTGACAAGTAAAGTAGTTGGGCTCTTCTTGTAATTTCTTTTCTAATTAGATGCCTGACACAAGTATTTGGCTCATTTGAGCCGAGTTTTTCCTGTTATCAGAGCAGATCGAGCAAAATGAAAAAATTACCCATTTCAATATGCCCAGCCAGAAAATTTCCATATGCCTAGAAAATTACTCATTTACAGTCTCTGTTTAGGGAAAAAAATGCCCAGAAAATTTTGTTCTCATTACATTTCATCCTCCTCAATTTTGTATTTTACCCCTAAACCGCACTTGGGATGGAGATACTGCAAATTGCATTCCCTGCAGTGCTGACATTAGCTGCTGATCCCATTGCTTCTCTAATTGACACAGCATTCATGGGTCGCTTAGGTCTATCTTGATGTTCTTTTTTGTTTTCTCCTGAATGACCTTAATTACGTTTTACTTAGATTATTTCTTGAGTTAATTGCACCTTATGAATCAGGTATGCTTTTAGTTCAAATAGTGAGATTTGCTCGTGAGGAAATAGCAGTAGAGTTCATATCTCACTTTGAGGGCAACTCTACCAGTTGCCATACATTGTGCTATTGCTAAAATTTAGCAAGATGGACACAAAAAGGGGGGAAAAAATAAAACAAAAACAAAAACAAAAAAAAAACAACTCTAGCAGTGTGCTATCATTGTGCCAAATTTAGCATGATGCTATCCACATCATTGTATTTTTAATATAAATTCAATAACTTAATTTAATTTTTTTTAAGATAAGCATTATATTAAATATTTAGAATTTGAAAGAATTCCATTGGCAAATGCCTATTATTGAATTTATTTAATGCAAGTATGAAAAAGCTAAATGAATTGAATTTTTAGATATATCAATTATTGAATCATAAGTTTAGTTTAACAATACTCGAATACATATAATTTGGTACATGTGGTAGAAATTAAATCCATGTAACTGGATGTTGCTGTGATTGCAGAGAAAGGGTGAGGAGGTTCCTTCATATTTGTATGGTTGTTGTATATTTCTTGTTGGTGAGTTTTCTTTTGAGAATTGTCTTCCATAATTGTACTTCAAGTTATTTTTGTGATTGAACTCTATGGAACATGGAATCCAGGAATGATGGGCTCCAAAAAGACTACAATGGGCAAGGTTTTGTCTGAAGCACTAGCTTATTCTTTTGTTGGCAGGTTAGTGCGTTACCTTTAATGTGCTTGTTCTGTTTTTTGATGAGTACAATATTTTATAGACCAAAAAACACCATAAGGGGGTTAACCCTGAACAATACCAAGTAAAACCTATATACATCACAGTTGGGATTACTAACATGGAGGTCATTTAGTTTGTCTTCATTAGTTGGTTCTGAAAGGTGTATTGTATATAGGTTCTGGAGTTAAGTTTGGAATCTGAAAAAAGTACGAAGTGGGTGGATTTAGACAATTTAATATATATATATATATATATATATTTCCCCATTGATATGGTAGAATGCTGCTAATTTTTAAGGTACTTCAACTCATAAAAACAATGTCTATCATTTTGAAACTTGATTTGTATACTTTTCACCAAGCTTCAGCTTGTTAACTAGCCTAATCGAACATTCATATATTGCCATTTCATAGCATACTAATAGAATTAGTGATTGGAAGTTGCTGGCATACTACACTTGCTTACTCTATTGCCCATGAAACTGTAGTGGCTTTGTAGTATTTGTCAGCATCTTTCGCTTTGAATCAAGCTTAGAGATGTTCAACTTGGCTTGTTAAGTCCCTAGAAAGATGGCAAATAAGGGGATGAAAAGAGTTTGTTTTATGTTTAAAATGTTCCAAACTTCATATTTTTTTAGTCTCTATTTTACACTTTCACATGACAACATTTCATGTACATATTGGATTGAAAGTTTCTTTTTAAACTTGTAAATAATATAGACTCTAATTTGATTTGGACTCTTTAGTTTGGAACTTACAATGTTAATAGATAAAACCTATACAAACCTAAACCTCATAATGGAGATCCTTTAACATAATTATGCAAGTCCTAAGTAGGTGTTGCATTGAAGTAGATTAATTCCACCTCTTCCTCTTTTTAAATTTGATTTTTCTCTTGAGCCTTTTATGGCCTGGATTTAGTAGCAAACTATTGAGATCTTGAATTTTTGCTAATTTTTCATTATGACATTGCTTTATAAGGCCATTGAATTATCTTATAAATTTTGAAAATGTTTTGTTGATGTTTTAAAATTTCTTGATCATTTCTTAATACCTCAAGAAATATTTTTGTCCCTGAGTCGTTGGTTTTTGTATTTATGTAAAGTTTCCTTTGTTATACAGACAGGAAATGCAACAAGGTTAGTTACTCCAGCTATTGCTGCGGGTTTCTACATTGGGCACCCTCGTCCCTATGATAGGAGCAAGTGGATTTGCTATAGCTGCAATTGCAACTGCTATAGGAACTGTTGTCTGTAGTTTTAGATAATCTCTTAATAGTTGTCAATAGAAAGATAGATATGCATAGTTTTAGATGGTTTAAACTTTTTGTATAGTTTAGAACTTAAAGATATAGTTTTCGAATGTTTGGAATGTATAGATAATTGTTGAATGTTTATAATTTATGGATATAGTTTCTTTTTTATGTTTCAAACAACATTTTGGTGGTTGATTGATGTTTTGTGATGCATGTTTGTAATATTTGTTAGATTGTACAAAATTGGTCAAATAGAACCTGTTGAATTTAAAAATAAAAAAAAAATTGAATATTCTATGGCAAGCATAATAAGTTGTTGTATTACATATTTTATGGCGCACAATTAGCGTCATTATTTGTTTCACCAATCAACGGCGTGCAAAAGTAGTCGTAGAAAAAGTAACAATGACGCACAAAATCTGTCATTAAATAGTTTTTAACGGCGTACTATAGCATGTTGTAGAAAAAGTAACAACGACGCACGAAATCTGTCATTAAATAGTTTTTAACGGCATACTATAGCATGTTGTAGAAAAAGTAACATTTAATGGCATACTATAGCATGTTGTAGAAAAAGTAACAACGACGCACAAAATCTGCCGTTAAATAGTTTTTAACAGCGTACGAAGCATGTCTTTGAAAGTGAATGAATTTCCATAACTGGTCATAATATGACGCGCGCTATACGTCGTAGAAGGGTTTTTACAGCGTGCATTGCACACTATAAAAACCTTTTTTTGCTGTAGTGAGCATATAATGTAAATAAAAATCACATCATGATTAGTAGAGGCCGATTTTTGATCGGACGAGTGGGGTGTTCAATTCATGACCTTCCCCTTTCGTACCTAAGTTCCCAAGCTGAGACACTTTGGTGATGACGGACTAATAGCCTTTGGCACGAGTCACGGGTTTTCTAAATTTTTGAAAACAAAATATTTAGGTTGTGACTTTGAAATCTTGCAAAGCAGTCCATTTTTGGCATTTGATTCAAACATCGATTTTCTAAAAGAATTGCCGAATTTGGACTCTTTTTATGTTTTCACTATTTCACATTGCACTTGTGAAATCAGATTCAGAACCACGGGAGGAAACCGAACTGTAGGGCTAGTCGTATCCGAAAGGAGCATGAAAAGTCAAGCTACAACCACCCAGAGATAGTTTCCACCGGTTTTTTTGTTTGCTCGGGTGGGACACTTCACAACCCCATTTTCTAACCCATTCATGCATTGAATGCATGGATATTCAACCTCCATTGCTTAGTGCTATTGAAGGTAATGCTTCATTTTTATCTTCCATTTGCTCTATTTGTGTTCTATTTGCTCCATTATCTTCCTTAATGCTCCATTCATGTGTTCCACCATTGCTCCACTTGCATTACCTATATAAGGAGAGCTCAAGTCTTAAATTTTAAGAGATGAATTTGAGGGAAAAAGTGTAAAGAGAATGATGAGTTTGAGAGGAGAAGAATAAAGTCTAAGAAAAAAAAAAAAGAGAGAGAACTTTGAAAAAGAGAGAGTTGTCTTTCCAAAATAGTGAAGTTGTCTTAGCCTGTATATGTCTCATCATCCATTGCAAAACACCACTCAAGAAATTCATTGGAACTAAGTCTTAAAGCTTTGATAAAAAAAAGAGTAATCCTTGCCAAGTTCAAGAAATTAAAGAGTGATCATTTCTTATAAACATGCTTGTCCGAAGCCACCATTCTAGCTCAAATTCCAAGCTTTTGAATTGAGGATTGAGAACACAATTCACAATCTTGAGGGTAATTGAAAGGAAGTTTGGAAATCAAGAAGTTCATTCTTTCTTTGGAATGTGAATTTTCAACTTCTTTCATTTTCTTGCATTTTCTATCTTATATTTGTTTTCTTGCTTTAATTTCATATTATTTTTGTTGTAATTTAACCAAAAATTGTTAATTGAGCCACCTACATATTCCTTGTTTGTTATTTTCTCGGTGTTGCAACAAGATAGATTTTGCTAGGCCTAGTTGGCCGACTAGCTAATTATTTTGCTGGTCGGCTAACTTCTAATGGACGGAACAAAGTAGTCTTCCAGCGTTAAGCATGCTAGTTTCCGGCGATCCTCAAGACCTACATCATCTATTTTCTTTTCATTTGAGAGTTTTGTGAGGTTTTATTTGTTGTAATATTTTCTTCATCTTCCTCTCATTTGGTATGTAATTATTCAAGTGTTATAATAATTCTCCGCCTCGCTTCTTTCTATTACATTCTTTTACTTGTTTTTCTTATTTGTAAATATGCATCATATTTTGCTTTTCATCGTATCTCTGCTTCGCATCCATGTATCATGCATCTTGATTTGACTAAGTTTACATTTGTGAATTTGTTCAATTCCTATGTGTGATTATGTACGCTACCTTATGTTCTTCAGATGATTCACATGTCATATATTAGAAACTGAATCTTCAATTGCATTTCATGAGTGAATTGCATTAGGATTTTGTATATAAGACCATACATGTTTTACTAACTTTGTTTTATAGCTGTTCGCGAGACGTCAGTAAATATGTAAGGTTTTATGCTTTAGCATCCCACTTTTGTGTGTTTTTCTTACTATATTTAAACATCCTACCATGTGGCTACTTGCTTACTTGATATAACTATATGAATGCTGGTGGATGGAGGTTATGTCACTTAATTTGGAATGATGTTGATTTTCATTTTTTGTAAAATCAATTTCTTCAAGTTGTACATATTCAAAACACATGAAATCAAATTGTTCCAAAATGAATGACATAGTCTATACTTGTATGCTTCACATAGTAAATTGTAAGATTTATTTAATACCAGAATATGAACATATAAAATTAATAAAACTCATATCATGGTTTAGTAAAGGCCGATCTTTGATCGGGTGAGTGAGGGTGCTTAGTTAACTTCTCATACATAAAGTTCTGAGCCAAGCATCCTTGATTACGATGAATAGTGGCCTTGGCATGAGTCACAGGTTTCCTAAATTTTTCAAAATATTAGGTGGGAACTCTGAAATCTGCTGATGTAGTCCATTTTTGGCAAAGATTTTGTAATAAAATGAATTTTCTATAAAAGTTGCCAAATCTGGACTCTCATCTATGCTTCACATTGCACTCATGAGACTAGATCAAAGAAGTCGAGGGTCTGAACTGTTTAATGCGTACGGGTACCTCTCGGGCATGTCAGAGTTTTTGGCGACTCTGCTGGGGATTTTATGAAACCTTTACTTGTACTACATGATATAACTTTTATTTTCAATTATGAGTTTATTGCATTGCATACATTGGTGCACTTAAAGTCCTTGTGTTGCCCAGATATTAGTAGGAGCACATGCAAGTCTTTTTGTGACACTATACTCATCTTTGCGTTACTTTTGAGACCCTATGTTAATACTTTTTAAGATCTTTCAAAAAGGTAGCTCCGCTATCTAAGGTTCTCAAACTTCGAAGAGAGGCTATATTGATTCTTCCGACTTCCTAGGATCTTAACTGGTCATTAACCAAAGGCTCTTTCATGATGTCACCTTGACTTCATCCCTAGAGTAGAGTTGGCCTTGTACATATAGTGAGCTATAGTACTTTCCAAAATTAGGACAAGATGCTCTCCCATTTTTAGGATGTATGATACCGCTTGTTCGAATAGTGAAACCTTAGATCATTTCAAAGTTAGGACAAGGTAACCCTACCCCCGATAGGGGTATTTATTCTCTTTCCTGCTATATGCTATGTGCAATGTATGGGATCTATACAAGGATTCTCAAATTCAGATGAGTGGTTCAAACATTTCAGTTTATGGGGTTGAGTTCAATTTTAGCAGTGATTAGTAGAGTCGGAATGTGCTGAAATTTTGATTGGGAGTTCGATTTTTTGTTTTGCTAAGAAGTCGTAGCACTATAGCTTTAGAACAGTCTAATATCCCTCAAGTTTTATGGGCTCGCACTGGTAAATGGACTCAGTTTAGGGACAACCAGTGTTAGTTTCTCTACTGCCAGTTACAAAAAGAATGGTTAAAACCTCACTGTCAGTACTTCTCCAGTCGAAATTTCTAAAATTTGTGATGAATCCACCTCTAATGGTGATAGCTGACCAACCTCCAATAGATATAGCAAACTTGTTTTTATCCCTTCAAAGAAGCATGGATGCTTTTACCTATAGTGTCACGACCCAAACCTGCCCCTATAGGTTTAACGTCGTAACCGGCCAGTAATCCTTGGATTACCAAAGGCCTTTTAACAGAATAACATATAGTTAGGGGCTGCGGAAGCAAATATACAAAATATATGTAGTCCATTGAGTTGTGAAGACATACATGGGATAGATAATTTAAAACTTTTATGAACTTGAGAGTGGCGCCAAAAGATACAGTATTTACACGTCATTCCATCAACATATTATTAGAAATCTTGCCCATAATTCAAAAGAAACAAAGCTTAGTACATTCACAAGAACAGCCACTAAATTTGACTTAATCTGGAACCTCCTTGGGGGCACAAAGGTTGGTTGACAAAAACTGAGACACCAGGTCCTCAACTCTGAGCCTGGTCATCTACCTGATCACCTACATACATAATATAAATAGTGAGCAGAAGCATAGTGAATAATAACAGAGTAAAGGGTTTTAATGAATGATGTCCATACCAGATTCAGAAATCATAATTCAGATTCATATTCTTGTTCAAATCATATACAGAAATCAAAGTTCATGCTTAATCATACGTGGTACATCCATTAGCGCTAACATCCATTAGCGCTAACAGAGCAGATACAGAACATATGGTGGTTATGAGTAACCAATTCCATAAAGGAACCTCCGAATCCGGGTAACAGATGACAGATATGCTAAGCTCTATAATGGAGACACCAGTACGGGTAACAGAGTGCAGACATAATAAGTTCCATAAAGGAACCTCCGATACTGGGTAACAGCTAACAGATATCACATAATGTTAAGGATGCCACGAATACATTGTCAGAAATTCGACAACCATTCATTGTACAAAACATAGCATTTCAGAATATAGATCTTATTTTATCATACAGAAAATATATAAAGTTGAACATAACTTTACTAAGTTATTACTCACAGATGGCTTTGGGTGCAGACAGATAGAGTAGACTAATCAAACAGTTAACAGCACGTGACCTACATCAACACATAACAAATACACATTTGAAACACACATTGGAA